TCTCTCTCTCTCTCTCTCTCGGTAAAGACCTACAGAGTGAATGTAATAAGCTTATTGAAAACATTTGAATGTTTAACACACAATGTGTCCCTCTCCATGTGTGTAGGGACCAGCCTGGCCCTGACCAGACCAGCACTGACCTGATCAAGTCCGGCCGCAAGTTCTGCTGGTCCAGAGAAGCCCAGTACTTGTATCTCCGCCGCCTCTCTTCACGCAGCTACTCGGCTATTATGATGGTACGTGGTTTACATGATGTTCAGTGTTGGTGCTGGTTTGGTGTGTCCTGTTGACCCTGAACTGTGTGTTTTAAACTCAAAATGTCTGCACTCAGACTTGAAACATGAATATTAGCATTTATTATACCAGTCAACATGGGAGCATGAGGCAGCTATATTCGTTATGTATATTCTGTTTGAACGCCCTCACAGGTCGTCTAGCTTTGGCTATTTTCATGCTTTAACACAAATTCAATTGGGTTAGATTTTAAAACCAGGAAATGTAGATGGGACTTTCCGCAGCCTATTTAAAGCCTTGTTTAACTTTTTATGCACCAGGGTAATGGCACTCCCATCTTAAAGCAACATTATGTAACATTTGGTTTTTGTTACTATTTGGCGCCCCGAGTTGCAGTACCACTGTGGTACATATGGACTGCCGTACATTTGATATAATTATATTACTTATGATCAAAAACGAGCGACTTTGCTAACACAGCCAAACGTTAAGCAAGTGCAACAACACAACATATAGCAAGGCAGCTAATATTACTGACTGGTCCAACAGCAAGAAGGCCAGCTCGCCGTCTGTCTCTAGCCATCTACTTCATGAAGCTCTCACCAACGAATAAAAGCCAGTCCAAGATTTAATTTACTCTTGTCCGGTGGTTTCTCTCTCCATTTCTCCTCTTAGCTTCTTCTGTCGTCCTCTTAAATCTTCGCCTCTGCCATTAGCTATGTCCACAGTCCGCAGTTACTTTATTATCCATCAGGTAACTGTAAATTACAGAGAGTTGAGGCTGAGCAGCCGGAGGACATCAGAGGGAAAACCAGAAAGCATTTTCTCCATAAAATATGATCCAGTTTCCCCGTAATCAGTGATATAGATGGTGGTGCTTGACTGTTGCCGTTAAGTGCTAAACACTTACTCTGACCTGGAGCAAAAAGTTACATAGTGCCAGAACAGGCGTACAGGGCACAAAGTGGGAATAAGAGAGGCACCATTCACCCTGTTGCTGTAACTCAGTGTAGCAGCAAAATGACTTTGAAGCTGTTATTTCAAAGGACCAATCTGTAGGATTTAGTGCCACCTAGCAGTGAAGTTGCAGATTGCAACTAACTGACCACCACCATAAAGTATATATATGTAGATACTTATTTTGTCACAGTATATCAGATTAGTGTATCCACTCTGAGGTTGCTTTTGGGCCAATTGAAAAGGCTGTCTTTAACATTGCTTGGATGATTGTGTGTTTCTCTCTCGTTGTAAATGTCACGATTTCATCTTATGAAACTCTGTCATAATCCCATCATTGGACAGAGCTGAGCTTTTTTTTTTGTTTATCCCAAAAATAGTTTGTAAGCTGCAAACAAGGCTGCTTCTCTCCTGAAACGTTGATGTTTTGGGGATATGAGGTTTAGTGAGTCAGTGTTTCCCAGACTTCTTTCCTCTTTCCTTATTTGAATACGACTACGCTTTAGTGACCCCTCCTGCATCCAGGATGATGATGATTAACCAGAGAGACATGTCACGTCCCAGAAGCTTCATTGTTTTAATGACTTGGTCACACAAATTATTCAGGCCAGTGAAGCTGTTTTGCATTAGGATGGCCTATTTTAAGGGCATTTCACAGAATACCGCTGATGTGAAATGTGGGATTTGCCTTGATTGACCTTAATTTTACTTCATTTTTTAAGAGGTTACATGCAATCTATTGCCCATGTGCAACTGCTGCTACTATTTGTGTTATCTGTTGTTGTGGATTCTTACTTTTTTTCTTTTGTACATAGTGTTTTATTATCTCCCTACTCTTTACTGTTTTTATACTGTTTTCTCTTTCCACTTTGCTGCTGTAACATTGGAATTTTCTCCATTGTGGGAAAAATAAATGAATATCTATCTATCTATCTATCTATGAAGCATTTTGGATAAAGTGCTCCCCTTTTTGTCAGTAGAAAAGCTTTTTGAATTTGTTAAAATGGTGGGTGTTGAAAGGAAATGGTTAAATTTCATTTTGAATTAAGGATTGGACATTTTGAGGGTCAGCTGGTATTTTTATCTGTGATTTGTCTCGTGCTGATAAAATACCAAAAAAGGGCAGGCTTGAATGGATAGAACAGATAGTATTACACAAACACACACGCACGTGCACACACACGCACGTGCACACACACACACAAACAACAGGTTATTGTGGGACAGCTGCACATGGTCATCTAGTTGTTCTACACATTTGTTTCAGCTGCTCATGCATAAAGTCTTAACATTTTTTACATAGCTCTTTATGGCTAAACCACATTACCTACATTTGTGTTCTTTTGCTCTGGGTCTGTTTTCTGTCGTTTGGGGCCCTCAGGTCCAGTCAAAGTAAATGTTAAGGTTTAGTTCAGTGATAATTTAGACAATAGTGTGCCTGTTGCTTTGTTGCAACATTTTGTTGAAGGTCCTTTCCCATTTTAACATGACAATGTTGCTATGCACAAAGGCATGTCCATCAACAAATACACCTCCCAGTTTGGTGTCTGGAGCCTTGACCTCCCCCAGCATATTTTGGATGAACTGCTGCAATGGCTGCAGAGGTGGGGAACTAAGAGAAAAAGATTAATAGGAAACATATTCTTCCTTGTCAAAAGTATTGGTGGTAGAGGTATCTTAGGACTAAAATGGGTTTCATACTTTTTGGGGATGCTATCTTTAATTTGAAGGGCTGTTAATATTGTATACACACTAAATAAGGCAGTTGCTGTTAAGTATGTTGATGTAAATTTGTTTTATACACTTGGAAATACATTTGAAAAGAAAGCCCTCTATCTGCTCAGATGTTGTGTCTGTGAGTGAGTTAAACTCTGCAGAGTGCAGTATTAAATGTGTTTGTGTGCTGTCTGTCTGGGAGCCTCACAGCAGGCTCCCTAAAAATCAATGGGAATTTTGGACGGATCCATCTCAGCGGTATTACAGGTGCAAGCCGCCTCCGTGCATGTACTGATAATGTTATCACCAATCGGTTCTTACTGATAACCAAATAATAGATTTGAACTAGGTTTAGGTTATAACTTGTGGCTTTATTTTGAGGTTATCCATCACAGTTACTTTTAAATTGCCCCCCCACCCCCGCTCACTTTTGGTATAACCTGAACCAAGCTAGGAGTCGTCGGCGCTAATTTTTGCCCTGAATGTTTAGTCTTAATATTTTTAGCAAGCAAAGTGCGATATTTAAAGTAAAGTAAACGAGACTTTTACACTTTCTACTCTTTAAAACGTTACTTTAAACTCCATCATCCGACCAGAAACATCTATCTAAGTATTTAGTTATAATCTTTAGTCCCGGACAGTTCAAAGTGCGTGATGCCAGTAAACGGAGGGGGGCTGCTCTCTCTGAACAGATATGCAACTCAGTATTTCACAGTAAGTACTCCCATAAATACATTTAAAGTATTCCTAAACAGCCGACAGACAATAGCTGTTTCAGTGTTGTGTATGTAGTTATATTTTAGGGGAGAAGTAGATTGAGGCGTTTCCATGAGTCCCAGTTGAAGCCTGTTGCATCCCGCTGCACCTGCTGTGATACCAGCTCCTCTCAGTAACAGTACTTTACTCAGTAGAAACACAGCCAGTGTTAAGAAATCCTGTTTTTAACGTTGTTCTCACTCTAACTCGTATTGATACATCGACTTTTCTCGTGTTTAATCGCCTGGTCTTATAAACAGTGCGCTCAGCGGTATGTCTGTCCTTTGGTGGTCAAAACAACACTTTTGTTTAATTTTATGTAGTTTTTAATGACCCACTTTTTAAAGGAGGAACTGTTAACGGTGGTGTGGCGCGTAGTACTTAACAAACTAAAGGCTACAAATGTCTAAAGCTATTGTAATGGCTTTATTTTTGACGTTATTTATGTACTGGTGTGTTGTTCTTTCTTGGGCCTCCCGGTGTAACGCTGTTGTGCCACCAGCAGGGGGCAGACTCGTTCAACCTTTCTGTGTATCAGCAGCACACAGAAACATGTCAGACTCATTGACACTATATGTAAGGCCACACTGCCTAATGAAGGACTGCTGGGTAGTTTTCAGTTTAAAAAAAACAACTTCTATTATAACTAACTTCCCTCAGAAAAATGCATATGTTACATCGGGCTTCAGGCAAATATCCTCTGAGTATTGAGGTTGCAGACTCCAAAATATTCAGGAGGAATTCATAAAGTGAGCAATGTTTACCTTTTGAGACATGCTATAGCAATTTAAACATCTTATTCTCTATTGTCATTTCAGCATCTTATACAGTGCAGTAAAATTTCAACACAATTTCACAAAACATGTCAGTTTTTCTTCATTCAGTTTGCAGCTGCCTTGGCATTGGGACTGAAAGTAGTATTTAAAAATGTAAGCCTTACTTGAAACCTGAGCAGAAACAATTGGATTTGATCGTTATTAATTATTCATTTGACTCATTTTTCAAGTAAAACTATGAAACGTTCTCTGCTTTCAGCCTTTTCTGTGTGAGGATTTTCTGCTTTTCTCAGTTTTAACATTATTGTAAAATGAATATTTTTTATTATGTATTATGTTATATGACATTGCTTTGTGTGGGACTTATAGCAAAAGAGACATTTATGTGAAAATACATTTGTGTTGTGGTCTCATCTCTAAATCCCCCAAATTCTACCTGTAAGAGTTACTACCACAACCCGAGAAGAAGCAAACAGTAAAGCCTCATTTTGTATAATGTTTGAATTTGAATGTCGCCTATGGAGACTTTACTTAACTAAGATCCACCCACACATTCTGTATTTCTGTTTTCTGAAGAGAGCCGACTCTTCTAAATAATTTGTTTCTAAGTCACGTCCTGTTAGGATGACCCAGTATTTCAACCTCCCTCCTCATTAGTGGAAATGTGTTTGTGTTTTGTTATGTAATAGCTGACACTCAGGAGGCTACGACTTATCCAGCAGGCCTGCCTGCGAGCAGCCATCACAATCCTATCACACAGTACAAGAAGACGGTCTTATTAAAACTGGTTTGGCCTTGCTCCAAGCACTTTCATTGGCTGCTTCTAAGTCATTTATCTGACTTTCATGTGTTCTCTTCTGCTGCACTTCATTTTCCCTTTTGTGGTGCAAAGAAATGCCACATAGATAGTAGCAGAAGAAGTCTTAGTTTAAAACTAAATACTGTTCAACATAGACTCCATCTGCCTCAACCTTCAGACACAACCCTGACCAGATGGACATTTCAAATGGCAGTGCCAAAACAAGTATCCTCTCTTCTGTTGCACTGTGGCGTATAGAGATGCTGCGTTTGTCCTGTTTTGATTCACACGGTCCTGTCGGCTCACTGCTGCTGTTGGTCATCTGGTTTCCTCTTGTAGGCCAGAAGATCAAAAAAGTGGCTTATGATGGGTGTGCTGCCAGCTCCAGTAGTGCCCCCGTTTCACTAAGCCTGCGCAGGAGGTGTCAGCGGCGCACAGATTTCACTTTCCCCTTTTATTACCAAAAACCCCACAAACAACTTTAAATCCCAACCACTGTGCTGCCACTAACTCCAGTCTGCACTCTGCACACATTCAGTGCCACTTTGTCTTTGCTGGTGTGTGAATCGCCTCTCAAACTTTTGATGAGTCCCATGTATCTGCGGTGTGAGCAGACATCAAACCCAAAATGTGTGGTGCTGTTGTTGTTGTGTTATTGTTGTTGTGTTTATGGATGAGCACTCGGCCGTTTGATCAGCGCGTGCCTGTGCAGGAGTTGGTGCGTGTGTGTGTTTACACTGTCTGCAGACGGTGGGATTTGTGCTGAATGTAGGCCAGCAGAATCCCTCTTACGTCAAAGGCAGGCAGGCGGGCAGATGCAGGAAGAGAGCTGCTGGTGGTTGTGCAGCTGTGACCATGGATGAGGCTGTGGCGCACATCAGTCTGCCAGAGCACCGCTGGCGGTGAACAGGGAGAGACGCAGATAGGAAGAGACGGAGAGCGCCAACGATGAAGACCGTCCTCAGCCTGCACAGGAAATGGGCCCATGCAGTCAAGACCATACGTATCCTTCAGGGACTCGTGAGTTCGATTCTGCTACCATGGCTCGGATTTAATCAGATCTGTGGCAGGCGGCTGGAGTGTGCTTTTTTTTGTTGTTTTTTTTTATGACTTGTGCAGTTCAGAAATGGGTTGAGTTGAGTTTGGTTCTGAAATGAGGGATCCAGAATTGTAGAAAAGTGGCAACAGCTGTTATTAAAAGATAATTTAGGATAAAAATGAATTGTGGTACTTTCAAAGTGTAAGGGCTGATGTTAGTATTCAAAATCAAAACTGACTCAGTGGTCCGTTTGCTGAGGTATGATCTGTGTAACTTTCACTTGGTCTTAACTGGTGGAATATTTCCACACAGGTTAGTTTGTACTGTATTAGGGTTGATTGGATTATTGGTCAGACACTTAACATGAAGCTAATGATAAGCAATTGTGTGAAGTTAAAGAAATGATGGTTTCATTTTTCCCAAATGTGAAACTTTTCTTGTTTTCTTCTGTTTAACTCGATTTATTCCCTTTTGGGGGTCGAACAATAAAACCAAGTTGAAGTTTGGAGTGTTTCTTGTTAGTCTCGGCAATAAAAAAGACGAATTAGTAATAGTTAGTTGCAGCTCTAGACTTGAAGTTGAGCGGTTGTGTATCTTTGTATCTGGTTTTACGTGACCTGTTGTGGTTTCATGGAACAGTCAGAGGGACTGCTCTCCTCCTGAATTATTTTTAAGTGCTTGTTAAAGAAAGCTAACTGATGTTCAAATGTTCTCATCCATATTTAATCGACCTGAGCAAGAAGTGTCTAACTTGTTGCAAACAGCCGGGCAGAGGCCTGTCATTGTTCTCCCGCTTGTGTAAGGACAGTTAATGAACTGGCTTTGTGGTTACATCACGTAATACATTATTAATCTGTTCGGTGAAATGAAACTAGCCATGGTAATCTTCCTTTTCTCTCCACAGAACCCGGTCATGGAGGAGACCGTGTGGGAGCAGTACACCGTGACCCTGCAGAGGGTGAGTCCATCTGCACCGAAACACACCAGACCTCATCTCATTTACAGTATTTCCATTTCAGCCAGAAAGCCAGGCTGTTCTACCCAGTGCTGCTCAGGGAGGGCTTTTAAATGATTAGTTTAACACATTGCAGTCAGCTAATAGTTAAGAGAGCAAAGAGCATGTGCAGATGTGACAGACATTGCCCTGTCTGCTGAATGAGAGCCAGCTCAAATATAGACAAACCATGAAAATGGATTCTTTTAATTCATTAGAATTATGATTAACTAGGCTTGTAAGGTGAGCTCCGGACCTCCCTGTATGGTAAAATATATAATGGTGGATATACCCTCATACACACCGCAATGACCAGGGGAAAAATATAGAGTGGAACAACATGGAGTGAAATATACAAACAATAGTTTGCTGATGCTATTATGCTGACCTTTATTTGACTAAAATTCAACTTAGTTCCTGATTTATTAGTTTTGGTTCCTCTTTCATTGTTAAGGATTGCTAAAAAATGTGGGTTGTGGGGTGTGAACCTTTTTTCAGCTTTTGAAGGATGCAAAAGTTTGCCATATAAACTTTATAAGGTGGTAGTATGTTAATGCTGTGTTTACAGCCCATTGTGTTGCCCCCGAGTCAATTTATAGATTCATTTTGGTGTGATAAATTCCACACAGTTGGGAGCGACGCTCTGCAGGGGGTATTTGGATGAAGCCAAAGTTCTCAAATATTCATTGTTATCTGAACATAAGCAGCGATACAAGATTTTTGCCTAAATGACGTACAGTCTAAAGTTTGGATTACAATCAAGAACTATTTGATCAAATCAGTAAACAAGATTATGAGTCTGACCAGACACTCAGGGCCAGCCAGGGCACAAAATTAGCACCACCCACCAGCCAAATGCTGGTAAAATATACAAGTGCCTGGTACATTTGCTTCACTCACCAGCCAAAGAAAAAGGTAATCTGTTGAGCTGCTAAGATTTGAATATTTACTTGCCATTTGCTGGGCGACCAAAGCGTTCATCCTGCACCCTGGTGTCGGCTCTCAGTACAACATTTGTAACACTCAACTAACACATTCTAGTTGATGAGTAAACCCTAGGTTTTCGTCTTTAATACTTTGATAAATGTGGACGTGTCGCCACCAGCCTATTGAACCTGGGCCTACACAGTTGTTAAAGTTAAACACGTGTACGACTGTGTGAGCAGAGCAAACCAGTTGAGCTTAGGTAATCATGATGAGCTCATTGTCTCGTGCTGAGGTTCACTGAAGCCAGAAAAGCAGATTTAGTGCAAAAAAGGTCCTCTGCTGCAGGCTTGTGACCCCAGACTCTCCAGCCCTCCACAGCCAGCTGTCACACTCTGCTTTGTACTTCCACTTTTTACTCTTTTCTACCGTTTGTTAACTGAGTGGCATTTTAAAAAATGTTGCTTCTACTGCTGCCTCGCTCGCTCAGAACACCTCTCATCAAGTGGAAGAGAGCTTAAAACTCAACATCCATAATAATATTATTACATAAACTAATATTCACCAGTAAATGTGCCACATTCAGTCTAGTGGCTACTTTTTATCATGACATGACATATAGCAGCATACAGAATGGAAAGACAACCGTTTTAAAACATATTATAGAGGCAACGTATAGGACCAGATATTTTAACTTTACAATTACAGACAAGACTGAACATTACAAAAGACAAGAAAATATAGTGCGACAACAACAGGCACATAACACACACAAGTTGTTTTCTGTTTGAATGTAAATCAGTTTAACTATGTCCAAAATAAACATAAATACATAGTAAAAACAAACATGGAGGATATAAACACAGAGCCAGATGTTTGAGAGGTGCAGTTTGAAGCCTGCCATTGATTTGGATTTCTGTGGAACAAACCATCTGGCTGTTGGGAAAATACTGGGCAGGTGATTGGATGAACCGTCTGTCTATCACGGTCGAACTTCAAGCAATCAGATCAATATAACGTAGTCCAAGTCTTACCGAAGCCAAGAAAGCACCTTTCCATCAATAAAAGCCTTCAGTGCTGTTCTTCGCTCTTCCTTCAATGAAGAAATACTCTCCAGTCCTGCTAGAACTGATGCTAGCAGTATCTACGCTAGCGTCTGTAGCTGTGGCCATTGTTGTTTTTGAGCATTAGACCACACCCACAGCTCATACTGTAGCTGCCAGCAGTTCCTCTGTGACACTGATTGTGTTTGGACACAATCATGTATCTTGAAGAATGGCTAGATGGATTCCAGCTGCCTCACAAGGTTAAGACTTGATATGATAAAATATTTTTAACTCTGTTTTAGGCAAAGTAAAGTAGGTATTGGATAATATAGGTAAGGTGTGGAGGCATCTGGAGGAGAAAAAAAAAGGCACTTTGTTGCTTTTACTTGATTACACTTTTAAATGCCTGACAGGTCTGATCTGACACTATCTGAAAAATACAGCCATCATCCAACTTTAAAGACACACTGCTGTTTTTATTAAACATAATCAATCTGATGATTTAAAGTGTCATTCAGCAGCAATAAAAAAATAACCAGGAATCACAAAACACTGCCATGTTTACTTGCAGTACTGTATTACAGGATCACCACACTTCAAAAATTGCAGTTAATGTTGTACTTGAACAATCATGTACAGTAACAGGAAGTGGCAGTAGGTGAGAGCCATTATCTCACTGGCTTTATTAAATAGCACCACAGATATCCCCGTACACACGCACACGTTTGCGAACCATTACACCCCATTAAATCCCATCATCTCTTGCCTCAACTACTGCTGCAGACAATAACACAGCGGCACGCTCCTCTGGCTTTCATTTGCTGTGATTTGAATCTCCTTTATAACAGCGTGGTGGTTTTATGTCTGTATTTTATTGGCTAAGGAGTACTCTCTCTGGCTCTCGGGCACACAAAACCTTTTCAACAATCGTTTTCCAGCTATATAATAATTATTTGATTGTAATATTTTATGCACAAGAAGTCATACATTTTTGAGATTATTATATCAGAACCAAAGATGTCTTCATGTCTCTTGTGTTCCTTCATGTTTGCCTCTGTGTTTTTTTTCTCTGCTGGCACTTTCTCCCTCCCTCTGCCTCCACGGCCATCTGCTAGACACAGAGGAGAGTGGTGAATTGTATGGGGCTTTTTTTAAGTACAGATGGAAGGGAGGGGATAAAGAGACAGGGTCATCAAATCTCTGACCTAATCTCATCTGGGCAAACTGGAGCAGTGGCAGGTAGAATCATTCAAAGCCAGAACATGTTTCCAAAGAAGCGAGGAGCCTTTAAAAACAGAGTTGTTTGTGCGCGTTAGCATACACTGCACACTCCTTTCCAGGAAGTGATTTTTAATATACAGACACTCATGCTCATACACACAAGGATTAGCATCGTTGTTAATCACACACACAAAGCTACAGAAGATAGTCACGTAGGCGGTGAACTGCTGCACAGCCATACATGACTCCAGTATGCACAACTGTAATCACAATCAGTCAGAATCCTTTTAATCGCCATGTACAATACACATACAGCCATGATAATACAGGGATTACAAGACCTCTCTCTCTATCTCTCTCTCTCAGACACACACACACACACAATGATTTACATGTTTTCTTTTTTTTTCTTCTTTTTTTTCAGGATCCAAAGATGGGCTTTGGCATCGCAGTGTCTGGGGGGCGGGACAACCCAAACGAGGAAAGTGGAGAGACGTCCATTGTGGTGTCCGACGTCCTGCAGGGAGGACCTGCTGATGGCTTGTTGTTGTGCGTACTCTTCTCGGTTATAATATTAGTAATCAGTTAAACTCGACTACACAGACAAACGTACTGCAACGACTGTCATTCACTTAGTACAGAGATCGTACGTAGGATCACACTGTGGTATGGGGTGCGATATCAGAGTACATGAGCTCGGTATCGGTGCATTCAAAAGAATGGGATGGGATTTACTTAAGGAATTACTTAACCATGACCCCTCGTAGAGATTTTGCTACTCCGTTTATACTGAGGTAGAGAACCCTTTAATATCCCTGTATGTATGCATGTATGTATGTATGTATGTATGTATGTATTAGGCCGTGATGGGCAATACAAATGTTTAGCAGGAGCATTTTCTATTAATTTTGTAGAATATTACAGAACATTTATTTGTCTGGTCTTGAATTTCCAGGACTTATACATAGTCTTCCAGAATTTACTATTTTACAGTGCTACACAATATAAAATTACATATCCATGATAGCAGCAGTTATCCATATCATCCACACTAACCCCCTTTGGAAAAGTTCTCCAAAACAAACCCATGGCTCATTCAATCAATCAGAATTACATTTGTATTAACTTTTATGTAACAACTGAAAATAGGGATTTGTACTGGAATAGTAAAGTTCCCAATATATATATATATATATATTTATATATTTATATACTTTGATTGTTTTTGTGATTAAAAATCACAAAGCTGTCCAGCTTATCATTATGGCTCAAGGGATTTAATTCTCTACTTGCAGCAGTTACAGTATATGCCTCATTGGGAAAGGCTCCGAACAAACGTCTGAATGGAGACAAAGCCATTAGTGTTCCATTTGTCATTTCAGGTCCATATGAAAATACACGTCATTTATAAAAGTAATGTCTTTATTTTTGAAACTTAAAAAACCTAAAATAACTAGATTAAAGAAAATCCCTGATATTAAAACCATTATAAAAAGAACAATATAACTAACTTAGTTCACATTGTGTGTTTGTGTTTAGTGAGAATGACCGGGTGGTGCAGGTGAACGCCATCCCCATGGAGGGGGCCGTCCACTCCTTCGCTGTCCAGACCCTCAGGAAGTGTGGCAAAGTAGCAAAAGTTGTGAGTAAAGCTTTTATTAGAGCCTTATTCTTGTTTTGTTACTTAATAAATAATGAAGTGTTCATTTAAGTTGCATACTGTGATTATGATGGGATAATTGTTAAAATGACCTCTGACCTTTATTTTGTATTAAAACTTTCTTTCTTTGTGTCTGTTTATCAACAGACAGTCAAGAGGCCCAGGAAGGTTCCAGTCAATATGCTGAACCGCCCCCCGTCACCTGACGACAGAGTCTTCAACAACGACTACAATGACGATTACAACTACGAACAGGACGGTCGCAGTGTGTACAGCGCCCGGAGTGGCGGCGGGCGGGATCACAGCCTGGAGAGGGAGCGAGGCGGGGGAGGCTACATGGATTCTGGCTACCAAACACGTGAGCGTGACTATGACAGGGAATATGACCGGCGGGAACGCGGCAGGAGTGCGGAGAGAGAACTGAGCCCCGACCGGCAGTACAGGAGAGATGGCAGCAGAGGTCGCACTTTGGACAGAGAACGCAGCCCGGAGCGCCCCTACAGGAGCGACCACTTGCTTGCCCGCGACTATAGCCCGGACAGGAGGTACCGCAGCGAGCGCACATTAGACCGAGATCACAGTCCCGATCGGCGCTACCGCAGCGAGCGTGCTCTCGACCGGGACCACAGCCCAGACAGACGCTACCGCAGCGAGCGAACCCTGGACCGCACCGACAGCCCAGACCTGCGCCGCATACGTGACAGCCACAGCCCAGCTCGGGGCCCCGGTCGGGACCACAGCTTCGAACGGGGACGTGAGCACGTCCCCAGTGACCCAAGGAAGTACGAGGAGCCGCTGAAGCGGAGTGGGAGCAGAGACCGTCTGGAGCGCTCGCCATCACCCGCCGCCATGCCCATCCCTCTGCCCCGCCCAGCCCGGGATCTGGAGCCACTGGAGAAACCTCTGAATGTGCTGCTGCTGAAGAACCGGCCCAATGAAGGTACGAAACTGACAAAAAACCTTATTAATTGCTGCTGTCAGACTGTCAGATGGTCGGACTCCATTTAGACAAACAAAATAGGAACTTTGTACTTTTTGAAACATGACTATTAACATGTTATAACATGATGATTCTTTTTTACCATCTATTCCAGAGTATGGCCTTCGTCTGGGCAGTCAGCTCTTCATCAAAGAGATGACCAACACAGGACTTGCCAGCAGAGATGGGAACTTGCAGGAAGGGGACATTATATTAAAGGTAGGGTCAGGGTTTTTACTCGCAGTGCTGATCATTAACAAGCTTCATGTCAGAATATCATTTTCGTTATATAATAGTTCTCTAAATGTCAACAAGTTTCCAGAGGCCAAAGGGATGTTATCAGGGGGTTGTTTTGTCTGAACATTCAGGACATTGGTCATTTAGGACGCTGTGTAATTTATTTGAAGAATGAATCAAAAGAAGGAGAGATTTCTGTCTTTCTTTTATTTTATGAAAACATCAAACTGCTCACAGAATGTTATCACTCTCACTGTCTCCATAACGACTACTGTCTGAAGAACTGCACAGGGCTCATACTGTCGCGTTGTTTCTTTGCTCAGGGATCTGCATCTGACTGTCTCTTAATCTCCTTTCTCTCTCTGTCCATCAGATCAACGGCACTGTGACAGAAAACCTGTCTCTGAGCGACGCAGGGAAGCTGATTGAGAAGTCTCGCGGGAAGCTGCAGCTGGTGGTGCAGAGAGACAAGCGGCAGGTGTTGATCCGAGTGCCCCCGATGGTCGACAGCGACTCAGAGCTCGATGGTGAGAGATACTCGAAACTGAAAAGCAGCAGGTCCTATCCAGCGTAAAGGCAAACCTAGCGAGTGGCCGCCATCATCATAAATAAACCCACTGCTATGAACTTCATATGAATGAACTGTGGAAACATTGTTGCTGTTGTTGTTGTTGTAATTGTCCATCAAAAACCTGTTTTCCCTTCATAAAATAAAAGTTTTACTCACACATACAACAGTATTTAGTATTATTTGGATATTTAATGTGTTCAAATATTTTACAAAACTCATACAAACTATGAGCTAACGAGAGATTCACCAACCTATCATCACTATTCCTCCAGCAATGATTACTCACTCCTTTATACCTGTTTTTAATGTCACATGACCAGATGGCGTGCAGTGATTGGTCAGAACCAATCTAGATAAGTGGTGTGAGTGGATTGTTCACTGACCAAATGTTTGGAGGGAGGGGTGGAAAAGCCGGAAGACTTGTGACCCACTTTGTCTGGTTTTGGGACATTGCGTGTGTGTGTGTTTGTGTGTGAGAGAATATGTGTGCATGTGTGAAAGTGTTCATTCGCCTCAGGCAGGGTGATCTAATCCCCCATCATAATCCTACTATTGGATATGACAGAATTTCATTATGTTAAGGTTTGCACCGCAGCAGCTCTCTGGTTTCTGCCGTTCAGCATCCCCTTCTATAAGGTCTCTGAGAACAATAGGGACTTATTTTGTGCGTGTGTGTGTGTGTATATTTTTAGCTCTGTCAGGTTCAAATCAAGTGCATCTACTTCATTTAGCTTTATAGCGGTATTGCTATGCTTCATCAGTGCTGCGATGTTAAAATGCATGGCGAATCAAGCCTCTTTTTTTTTTTTTTTTAACATCAAAGTTAAATTCTCCTGTTCAGTGTTCTTCGTCAGGATCCTTGAAGCTGGTAATAAATATAATTACTGGGCATACTCTTTGTACACTTTGTGTAGTGATGTGACAAACTTTGTGTTTGTGCCCTTTCTGCATCCGTGACCTGTGGGCCATTTGAATTGTAATTGTTATGTAATTTAAAAGATACAGTCGCATCAAGGAGAAATTCAACATTTTTACTCCTCCAGACATGTTTTTATTCTTTATCCTCTGAAGATAACAATATCATGTTCAGAGACTTTACACTCTCAAGTTGGTTCAGGAAGGTTATTTTGTTCAACCTGTTTGTTGTTGCTGTGTTGCAGATATCTCTGAGATCGAGTCGTACCGCTCCTACTCTCCGCAGGATGACAGACGGGGCCACCACTCCGACCTCTCCTCCCACTCCTCCAATGAGAGGCTTAGAGATAAACCCAGGTACGATGTCATTGAATCTTGAGCCACAGGAATGAACTATTTCCCCCCATCTAAAGAGTTTTGTTATGTCCAGGAGCTACAGAAAGCTACAAAGAGTCCAGCTTTACTAAGATGTCCCCAGTTTATTATGTGTGTTCAATACAGCACAAAATCAGGATGAGGCAGGATTATGTTGATTTATGCCTCATGAAGATTAATCAGTCAATCACATTAAATCAATGAGGAGGTATTTCTCTGCATCGACGAAGTACTCGTGTTAGACTTTTCTGTATATTAATTTTTTGTCAGCCGTTATACTTTTATCTTGATAGTATCCAGTCAGGAACTATTGGGGCTTTGGTTTGTGGGGTTCATGCAACAAAGGTCCACAGCTGAACTCAGGTTCTGTAGTCACCATAATGTCCTGTTAGAGATTAGACACATTTTAATTTAATTTGTGATTTCACCAGAGACGACCCGCCCAACAGGTTGGCAAAAATGGGCGCCATGCCAACGCCATTCAGAGCTCCTGACAGAGCTGTTGAAGACACGCCCCCTTTGCAGGCAGAGAGGGAGGACACGCGAGCAGAAACACCACCAGGTAAACACGCGTCTCCCTCTGAACATATGAAGCTCTGATCATGAGCGTTTTGAGTCCATGTAAATGTCAATGCTGCAACTTGAAAATAAGTAAGTTTATTTTCTGTTTCTGCAGTGCCAGCATTCACTGTAGCCCCAAAGGTTCATGCACCTCCCAAGGTGCCGCAAAAGCCAAGCATAGAGGACGAGGAAATATACGGGTCAGTATATCACAAATAGTTATTCTGGGTTCTGAAGCCAGAGACCTATAGGCCAAAGTGCATATGAATTTCTTTCTTTCTGCATATAAGTTTTTCCTTGCTTTTTGCGACTCTGTATAATGAAACCTTGCTTTCAACGTCCAGGCCGAACACAGTGATGGTGCGTTTCCAGAAAGGTGACAGCGTGGGTCTGAGGCTGGCAGGGGGAAATGATGTAGGCATCTTCATCGCTGGTGTTCAGGAGGACAGTGCAGCTGAGCAGGAGGGTCTCCAAACAGGAGATCAGATCGTGAAGGTTAGATTTCTTTTATTCCACATTAAATACCTGCAGATACAACATTCAGGTGACTTAAAAGCAGATGACAGTCATTAGACTCTGACTCCGGTGAGGGTACCACCTATTGAACACTGTTGTAAACAACAAAAATAAAAGATATACAAGAGAAAGGAACAATTCAAGTAAATCGAGAAATAATCAGCTCAGTGTTCTGGTGTTTTATTACTTTGTGTAAAAAAATCTCCTATTTGATCTGCTACACATGGTGTATTTAAGTCTATTCTATAATATACTCATTCTAATTGTATTTCATGTGTGTTTTGTCTGTTTCAGGTCAACAACATGGATTTCAGAGGCATGGTGCGTGAGGATGCTGTACTCTACCTCCTGGAGGTTCCCAAAGGAGAAGATATAACCATTCTTGCTCAAAGCAAACCTGAAGGTACTGTACTGTATAGATAAAGGATACTAAGAAAACTAATACAAATATTTATTGCTGTTATTAAAATGGTTAAAAAGGAAAGATAAATACAGTGCCTAATACAGCCAAACTTCTCATGCATATACTTAACTTAACAAAAGGCTGCAATGAATTATATGAATGAATTACCAATATATATCACTATATTCACTAAACTACACTAATAAAACTGAAGTTGGGTGTATAGCAATAAATATGTATGCTATAGTTTTGGATAAATAAAGATAAACCATGAAGATAGAAAATAGTAGTAGACCCAGAATTTTGCCCTGTGGTACACCGAATTGACTTTACAATAATGTGAGGTTGAGTTATTTATTTCAGTTTGACTTAAGCTTAGTTTGTGATCTTTAGTAGAAGTATTAGGCTTTTTGACACTCTGTGAGTGAATTGGCCCAGACTGACTGTTTTTTGTTTTTCATTTGTTTTCCATTTCAGTGTACAAGGACATTTTAGCATCTGGCAGAGGCGACTCTTTCTTCATCAGGACACACTTTGAGTATGAGAAGGAGGCTCCTCAGAGCCTTCCTTTCTCCAGAGGAGACATCTTTAAAGTGACAGACACACTTTATGATGGAAAACTTGGCAACTGGCTGGCAATTCGCTCTGACAAAGACAATCAGCTGCTGGAGAAAGGAATCATCCCCAACAAGAGCAGGTGTGTGCAGGGGTTTTGATGCTTATGTATGTAGGATTAAAGCTGCAGTAGATAACTTGAACATACAAAATGCAAAACCTTCTGGTCTCTCTCTTTTGCTCGTATCGCCTACTCCAGCTTTAAGTATTTGTTAAATTGATTGCTATAATCACTCACTGGCTTTGGAGCAGCTGGCAACAACTGAATCCTCTGATCAGCTCTACAGTCCAGCATTCAAAAGCTCTGCTTCATCAAGAGACCTTCCAGACCACATAGTGTGGAAAATAAACACTTTTAGAAAAAGAAAAACAATAGGTGATTATGATGATGTTGACTTTTTTGTCTCACAGAGCAGAGCAAATGGCCAATGTGCAGAATGCCGCTCGGGCAGCGTCGGGCAACGACAGAGGAGACTTCTGGAGGCTGAGAGGTCAAAGGGCGGCAAAGAAGAAGGACTTACGCAAGAGCCGAGAGGACCTGACCGCGGCTCCAGTCACCACACGGTTCCCCGCCTACGAGAGAGTGGTCTTACGTGAAGGTACCCCAAAAAGTTAACAACTGGCCACTCAGGAAATCCTGTGAATTTTGGATGTATTCCATGTTTCTCTGTTTACTCGTGACTGAACTTGTGTCCTATTTGATATTTCTTTCAGCTGGATTCAGGAGACCTGTGGTGATATTTGGGCCCATCTCCGACGCAGTGAATGAAAAACTGGCCAATGACATGCCAAACGAGTTTGTCATCGCCAGTAAGTGCTTTAAATTATACTGGAGCACACTCTGTTTCACAGCGTTGTTTAATGTATAGTGAACATAGTGAATATTAATCAGTATTTTAGGCTGACAGATGCTCATGTGCCTCATCCTGCATTGTGAATAATTTCACTCCCATCAGAAACGGAGCCCAAGGATGCAGGAAGTGAGAAATCCTCTGGAGTGGTGAGACTAAACACCATCAGACAAATCATTGAGCAGGTATGGTATACCAGCAAAACATGCAGCTTCATGAAAATACTGTTACATCATCTGACACTCAGCCGCTCCCCTGTTCCCTCAGGACCGTCACGCTCTGTTGGATGTGACTCCCAAAGCTGTGGACACTCTGAACTACACCCAGTGGTATCCCATCGTTATCTTCCTGAACCCAGACAGCAAGCAAGGCGTCAAGACCATGAGGAACCGCCTCATGACCGGATCCAGCCGCAGCGCTCGCAAACTGTATGAGCAGGCCGTCAAGCTGAGGAAGACGTGCTCACACCTTTTCACTGGTGGGTTTCTCCTACACAGCCCGTTCTCATTCCCAGGTCGTCAAATACAGGTGTTCGGTGTTCAGTTAGTAAAAATCATCTTCACCTCTACATGCCACTAAATCCTACACACTGGTTCTTTTAAAATTCACACTGATAAACTGACACATTGCTAGTGATTCTTGTGTAACTTGTGTTATTTGTTTTCGTGCACGTTTAGCGACCATCGACCTGAACTCGGCCAATGACGCGTGGTATGGCAGCGTGAAGGATTCCATACAGGAGCAGCAGGACAGAGCTGTGTGGGTGTGTGAGGGCAAGGTGAGTCTTAGAATCTGTGTGAATGACACGCTGCTGCTGATGACTGCGTTGATAATACGAGCTCTGCTGTGACAAGTATGTGATTCAGACCGAGTTGCGTGGGTAAGAACACATCCGGCGCTGACTCCGTATCCTCACTTCCTCTCCCCAGTTGGACGGCTCAGAGGAGGACCTGGATCTCCACGACGACCGCATGTCCTACCTCTCGGCGATGAGCGCGGACTACCTGAGCATGGACAGCCGTCTGACCAGCGACTACGAAGACACGGCGGACGAGGGCGGGGCTTACACCGACAACGAGCTGGACGAGACGCTGGACGAGCCCCAGCCGGTGTCGGCCATCAGTCGATCCTCAGAGCCGGTGCTGCCAGATGAGGTGGGAGTGTCCGCTGATAGCGTGTGAAATACTGTTCAGCGTTTATACTATATATACCTTTAAATCCTCGTCATCGTTTACTCATTGTTAGTTTAAAGGTTTGTGTGTTTGCATAATGTGACCCTTACAACCCTCCTGTGTGTCTGTGTGTCTGTGTGTCTGTGTGTGTCTGTGTGTGTAGAAGCCTCACCCTGAACCCCGTGCTCGTATGAGGAAGTCAGGGAGCAGAGAGGTGCTGAACAGAGAGCCCAGCCCTCCCCCTTCTTTTGTCCCCGAACCCCCAAAGGTGAGATCCACCACCCCCTCCTCCTTCCCCAAGAACATCTCTCTACCTACACTTTCCTGCCATGAGGAGTTGTTCTATCTGATATTAGTTCCATTACTACGTTTTTTTTCTTTCCAGACTTTAAGAGCTTAAACTGCAATATACATAAATTCCACACAGAGTTAAATTATTAGGGGTAATATTCTAAGGGTAGCAGCTCACAGGTCTGAACAGGCGTTTTAATTTGAAGGAGCGTGATGCTGAAGCAGACCAGCCTCACCGTAACCCGTCCTGGAGCTAAACAAAGGTTTCAAATGGTCCAGAATATCCTGAACAGTCCTCTCCTGTGACAGGTGCGGACTCAGACTCGGACTGACTCATCGCGGAGCTTTGACTCACACTCCAGCAGCACCATCAGCAGCGACGCAGCGGCCGGAAACAAGCCGCTCCCCCCTCCCGTGGCCCTGAAGCCCACCGTCACCCGTCTGAACCAGCCATTGGAGGAGCTGAGCCCGGGGAGGGAGGAGGACCCCGCAAACAAATCCTTCCTGGGCAAGGTTAGTCATTATTTCTTTGTTTGTTGTATTTTTAGACCAACAAAGTAGTTTCTATTCTGACCTATCAAATCTTACTTTTCCCCTTAAAGAAATGTTTCTGGTTCATCCAGAATTAAGACTTTTTTTCCTCATGTTTAAGACGGAAGCTTTTAATCAGTTATTAAATAACTTTTATTCCACTTTCTTCCTCCTTTGCCTTCATTGCTTCTAATATGAAATAGCAAATGGGTGACCAGGTAACTCAATGTGTCTGCATTGTCTTACCCTCCTTATAAATCCATAATTACTCCTCATCCATCATAGTAGTGTTCCTCCGTCTTCATTTAATGGGTTATCACACTCAAAGGTTTCATTTCACACTCACTTTGAATCATGCCATGTGGATGTGCAGTGCCTACTAATCATCACAACTGGAATCTGAATTAACATGTATTTATTTCCTCCTAGATTAAAGCTTTTGAGAAGATGGACCACTTGGCCCGAGCTCAGAGGATGCTGGAGCTGCAAGAGGCCGAAAATGCTCGAGTCAGTAACTGTTGTTATTGTTATTGTTATTGTTATTAGGGCCCGAAGCAGCGAACGCATCTCATCGCTCCTGTTGACTGTGGCAACAGAACAGACATAGAGATTAGTAGCAGCGATGGGCACTTGAAGTAATTTCCATGTTTGAGTACTCTCAAAAAAATAAATCTAATGTAACAACAGCATCCAAAATGAACACCCACCCACACCCACACCCAC